ATAACTTTAAGTCAGGGATTGTGATGCTTCCTGCTTTGTCTTTGCTGCTTAGAATTGCCTTTGCTATTCTAGGTCTCTTCTGGTTCCAGATGAAACTTAGGAGTGATTTCCCTAGATCTATGAGGTATTTTGATGGTATTTTTATTGGGATTGCATTGAATCTATATAGCAGTTTTGGGAGAATGGCCATTTTCACAATGTTTGTTCTTCCTATCCATGAGCAAGGGATGTCTTTCCATTTTCTGAGATCATCTTCAATTTCCTTTTTCAGTGTATTATAATTTTCACTGTATAAGTCTTTCACTTCTTTTGTAAGAGTAATTCCTAAATATTTCATTTTTTTGCTTGCTAATGTGAAGAGTGTAGTTTCTCTTATTTCCCTCCCTGTGATTTTGTTGTTCGTGTATAGGAACTATTGATTGTTCGTGTATAGGAGCTATTGATTTCTGAATATTGATTTTGTATCCAGCCACATTACTGAATTTATTTATTGTATCTAAGAGTCTTTCAATGGAGTTTAGGGGGTCTTCTATGTAGAGTATCATGTCATCTGCAAACAATGATAATTTAACTTCTTCTTTTCCTATCTTACCCCTTTTATTTCTCTCTCTTGCCTAATTGCTCTGGCTAGTACTTCCAGTACTATATTAAATAGGAGTGGTGATAAAGGACATCCTTGCCTTGTGCCTGATTTTAAAGTAAAGGCTTTCAATTTTTGGCCATTTAGTATGATGCTGGCTGTTGGTTTGTCATAAGTGGCCTTTATTATATTGAGGTAAAGACCATCTATTCCAATTTTCTGTAAAGTTCTTATCATGAATAAATGTTGGACCTTATTGAAGTCTTTTTCTGCATCTATAGAAATGATCGTGTGATTCTTACTTTTGGCTTTATTGATATGGTAGATTACATTTACTGATTCACGTATGTTGAACCACCCTTGCATTCCTGGGATGAATCCCACTTGGTCATGGTGTATAATCTTCTTGATGATTTGCTGCATCTTATTTGCCAATATTTTATTGAGGATTTTTGCATCTGTGTTCATTAGGGAGATCGGTCTATAGTTCTCTTTTTTAGTTGGGTCTTTCTCAGGTTTTGGTACTAGAGTAATATTTGCTTCCAGGAATGACTTAGGAAGGATTGCTTCCCTTTCAATTTTATTGAATAGTTTGAGGAGTGTCGGCATTAGGTCTTCTTTGTATTTCTTGTAGAATTCTGCAGTGAATCCATCTGGGCCTGAGCTCTTCTTTGTAGGTAAGGACTTAATTACATTTTCAATTTCATTAACAGAGATTGGGTTATTCAACAGTTCTACATCCTCTTGATCTAGCTTTGGTACTTCATATGTTTCTAAGAATCTGTCTATTTCTTTTGTGTTATCAAACTTTTGAGAGTAAAGGTTTTTGAAATAGGTGATGATCTTCTGTATTTCTATTGGGTCTGTAGTGATTTCTCCTTTTTCATTTCTTATTGCATGAATTTGAGCTTTTTCTTCCCTTTTTAAAATAAGGTTGGCTAGGGGCTTATTGATTTTATTTATTCTTTCAAAGAACCAACTCTTTGATTCGTTGATTCTTTGGATTATTTTCTTAGTCTCTATTGCATTGATTTCTGCTCTGATTTTTATAATTTCCTCTCTTCTTTTGGCTTTGGGCTTGACTTGCTCTTCTTTTTCTAGCTGTTTGAGGTGTAGCATCAAGTTATTTATTTGTATTCGTTCTGTTTTCCTGATGTGGGAACTCAGTGCAATAAATTTTCCTCTGAGGACGGCTTTCATTGCATCCTACAAATTCCGGTAAGTTGTATCTGCATTTTCATTTTCTTTTAGGTATTTTTTAATTTCTTCTGTGACCCACTGATTACTCAAGAGTGTGTTATTCAGTTTCCATGTGTTTGCGGGATTTTTGCAGTATCTTTTATCATTAATTTATAATTTCAGAGCGCTATGATCCGATAACATGCAAGGGATGATTTCAACTCTTTTGCATTTGTTTAAATATGTTCTGTGAGCTAATATATGGTCTATTTTAGAGAATGATCCATGTACTGCTGAGAAGAATGTGTATTCTGATGTTGTTGGGTGAAACATTCTGTATATGTCTATGAAATCCATTTGTTCGCAGGTGTGATTCAGTTCTGCTATTTTTTTGCTCATTTTCTGTTTGGTTGATCTGTTCCTTGGTATCAATGGCATATTAAGGTCTCCTGTTACAATTGTGTTACTGAAAATTTGAGTTTTCATTTCTGTTAATAGTTGTTTTATATAACTGGGTGCTCTGGAGTTTGATGCATATATATTTAAGATAGTTATCTCTTCCTCTTGGAGTTTCCCCTTACGAGTATGTAGTAACCTTCTTTGTCCTTTATGGTCATTGTTGGTTTAAAGTTCACATTGTCTGCAAACAGAATGGCTACTCCTGCCTTTTTTTTTGGATTCCTGCTGCATGAAATATTGTTTTCCATCCTTTGACTTTCAGTCTGTGAGTATCCTTCTGGGTTAGATGGGTTTCCTGTAAACAGCGTATGGTTGGATTTTGTTTCTTCATCCATTCTGCTAGTCTGTTTCTTTTGATTGGTGCATTGAGACCATTTACATTAATGGTTATTCCTGTTAAATGCTGGTTTATTTTTGATGTTATCTCTCTGCTGTTGCATCCTTACCTTTCTGTTCTGTTTAATTATCTGCTTTGCTTGTGTATCTAAAATGTCTTTCAATATTTTTTGCAGGGTTGGTTTGGTGTTCATGAAGTTCTTCAGCTGTTCTTTGTCATGGAAGTATCGTATTTCACCATCAATTTGGAATGATAGTTTTGCAGGATACATCAGTCTAGGTTGGAAATCATTTTGCTTTAGGATCTGGAATACTTCGCTCCATGCTCTTCTTGAATTTATTGTTTGTGCTGAGAAGTCTGCTGTGATTCTGATAGGTTTTCCTTTATAAGTGATCTGTCTTTTCTCTCTGACAGCTTTTAATAATCTATTCTTGTGTTGGATTTCTGGGATGGTGATTATTATATGTCTTGGTGTAGTTTTATTTTGGTTATGACTATTTGGAGTTCTGTATGCTTCACTGATCCTGATGTCGGTTTCTGATCTCATGCTTGGGAAATTTTCAGCTATTACTTCTCTAAATATCCTCTTGACATCCTTTATGTTGTCTCCTTCTTTTTCATTAATCCCTATCTTTCTTATGTTATTTTTCTTTGCATCGTTTTGCAGTTGTTGAACTGTTGTTTCCTTTTCTTTTTTTTTTTTTTTCCCCATTGGTACCAGGGATCGAACTCACGACTGCCTATTGCAAGGCAGGCGCTTATGCCGCTGAGCTAAATCCCCAGCCCCGAACTGTTGTTTCCTGATTCCTTGTTATTTTTAAAAGATCTTTCCTTTCCTGTTCACTAGCTGCAATCCTGTCTTCAAGGTCTGAAATTCTATCTTCACTTTCATTAAGGCGGTTTTTACAACTTTCAGTGGAGTTTTTTATTTCCTGTATATCTCTGTGCATCTGCATTATGTATTCTGTTTGTTTCTTATATTGCTTGTCTAGGGATTCTTTTTGTTTAGTTCCTCCAATTTTTTATCTGTGTTTTCTTTAGGTATATTCAGAATCTCTTTCATTTCTTTTATCATTTCTTCTTTTACCTGGGAGATTATTTCGAGTTTGAATTTCTTTAAAGCTTCCTGGAGTTGCTTGTTAATTTCAGTAGCTATTGTGTCCGATATTTGAGGTGAATGGCATATATTTTCTTCTATATACGTTGCTCCTAGGGTTTTTTGAGATGGGCTGGAGGTTTGAGGCTGTAATTTGGTCTTTCGTTTTGTCATTTTCCTATATTTCTGTGTTTCAAGTGTTATTTGAAAGCTTCCTCAGGGTTTGTTGGAAATCCCCTTCTATGTTTGCAGCTCCTGAGACTCTGGCATCCCATTACCCCAAGCCACTGGGCCTGCAGAACCAATGGCCCTCCTCTGCCTGTTCAGAACTCTGAAGTTCCAGATAAGCTTGGCCTCAGGGACACTGTGAGCCCACCTGCCCGTTGGAAGCTCCACAGCTCTCCAAGCGCAGCTGGGATGCGGAGGTGGGTGTAGACGCCTCCAACCCACCTCTCCACTTCACTGCACCCCGAAGCCTGGAGGGTCCCGAACAGTCTGGGCTTTGGGCAGAGTGCGCTGAGCACTCACCACAGGCCGCAGTGCCTCTGAAACCTGCGATCCTCCCCTGCTTGCTGAGATATCCACAGTCCTCCAGACACACAGGGAGGCTGATCAGTTTTTTTTTTTAAAAGGAAATTTAACAAGGTTATGTTAGCTTGCCACCTGCCACAAGTAGAATCCACTCTAATCTTTTTATATTAAGCACTACCTTCATTCTCAAGGAGTATCTAGAAAATATATTTGAAAATAGGGAATGAGGAGAAATTGTAGATGGCATGTAAATTCTGAGAAATATTTAAGAGAAATAAAATATTCAGTTTCTCCAATACTTAGCAAGACATAAGTTTAAGAAATGAAATAGGATCAACCTAGAGAATTCCTCAGACACAAGCATAATGAAGAATTAATAAGATTTTTCACTGAAGCATACAAATATTAACCAAAAAAAAAAAAAAAGCAAAACTGGTCTATCCAAACTGCAAAGTATCATGAAATAGCCAAAATGAATTATGCATGTCTCTATGTTGATTTTGAAAAACTTGCAAGATATAGTGTTACGTGAAAAGAGGTTTAATCATTTGTTTAGTATGATATAATTTTTGTAAAAAAATAATATCAAGTAAAATGGTATGTTTCAGTGCTGTAGATGCATGCATACTTACACACTTGCATGAAGAATGGGAAGAAATCGTACTGACCATACTGACGTATCTTTTAGAGGGGAAGTAACATTGGAAGCACTTAGAAATGGGACTTTTTTTGTAGTACTATTTGTCACTTATTTAATTTTAAAAGTCAGTGAAGGAAACAGATTCTGAACATGGCATTCACTTCATTTTCCTTTACAGAAAGAAAAAAAGTGTTTAGAGATGTCCTGTCCTGTTTGAACATGGATAGAAGCAGAAAGCTTCTGCCAGGTTTTGTTAAACAATTTGCCTTAGACCAAGGATATGGGTGGACACCTAAGACTTCAAGAGACTTAGTTTGGAACTTCCTGATGAAAGTTCAAGCACTGGGTGTGAGAGCCAGAGATTCGCTCCTCAGGCACCAGGTTCTGGATGAAAGCAGTAAAGAGGAATTGCTGAATGGAATGGAAAATTTGGAAATTAGAGACACACAAGCCATTAATCCCCTTGACATCTTCTGTGCTTGCATGCTCTGTTCAGACAGCTCTCATGTCATGTCAAACATGTCAATGCCAGTTTGCCCTTCCTCTGCTACTGCCTGATGCTGAAAATAATGAAAGCATCCTAATGCTAGGGGCAATGAAGGACATTGTGAAGGAACAGTCAACACAGTTCTCAAGGAGGCTCACAGGGGCTACCAAAACATTTTTGAGTCTCATGAAGATGCCTGTCATCTCTTTTGTGCGTCTAGGACATTGTAGCTTCTCCAAGTCCAGAATCCTTAACACATTGCTTAGCCCTACCAAAGTGAAATCACACAAAATCTTTCTCCATCAGGATTTTTCTGGTGTGGTACTTCCTCGACAAATCTCTGACGGGCTGGTTGAGATAACATGGTGTTTCCCTGATGATCTAAAGGAAAACCCTTGTTTTTTCCAACAGCCTGTGGCTTTGGCCACCCTTCGTGGAGATCTCCAAAACTTATGGACACAGTTTGGTTTTTTGATGGAAATTTCCTCATCTGTGTTCTTTTTTACTGACAGCTCAGGTGAGAAGGAATGGAACTTGCTAATGTTCTTAGGCGAAGCTGCCATTGAAAGATGCTACTTTGTTGTCAGCTCCCAAGCCAGGGAGAGTGAAGAGGCTCAGATTTTCCAGAGGATCCTGAATTTGAAGCCATCACAGCTGCTGTTCTGGGAAGGGGAGGCAGCTGGGGGTAGGAGGAAGAACACAGAGAGCTTTCAAACTGCCCTCCAGGAAGTGATGTCTTCTTTACTCAGAAATTTGTCTGTGGAGGACATGGCCTCCCTGACCAGGGAGTTGGGGATTCAAGTGGACCAAGACTTTGAGAATGCTCAAGGAATGCAAATCTCCTCTACTGCAAACACAGCTGGAACAGCGAAAGGACAACAAAGGCATAGTCAGCCAGAAAGCTCATCTAAAAGCCAAACTCAGATAGATGCCTGTGAGAGAGTCTGGGGCTAGATGTGAAGTCAGGCAGAATTTTCACAATTTTCACCACCCTCCAGCTTTGATGCCTCATCCAGAAAAATCCTGGCTCTTGTCAGTTGGAGATAACTTTAATCATCCTTCCTTGAAAGCCCCTAGATTTACAGGCTCCCACTTTGGGTCACAGCAGAGGTCTAAGTGGCTCTGTCCTTTTCCTTTTCAGAATATAAAGGATCATAGCACAGGTAAACATTTTGGTGTTCAGTACTTTCAACCCCAGAGATTTTATTCAGATAAAAGATTTATGGACATTTCAGGAATGTTTTGGGGGAATCACTTGCATGGAACTTTTGGGAGAACACCAAGACCTGTTTTGCAGTCTGCATGGGCCCGTCCCCAGAGACCACAAATAGGCACTCTTGAAATGTCTGGGCCAGTGGTTCCCCGGGTAGGTCATACCCATTCTCTGGGTTCACAACTGGCAGGAGCAGTAGGGAAGCCACAGCCTGGGCAAGCCTATGCCTGGGGAACACAGCTAGCTAAAGCAACTGGGAAATTTAAGACTCCAAGGTCCTTTATTGGAAATCTTACCCCTCAATCCTTTCAGCCAGCTGGAGGTCTGCAAACACTGGTAAGACCTGCTTCACAAGGAACCCAACTGATGACACAGGTAGATCTTCAAATCCAGCTTTCCAAACAGGATTCTCTTCCATGTTTACAAACAAACTTTTACCTAGCTCTCAATTCAAATCCCATCAACCCAAACCATCCCAGGGCAAGCACTTTCAGGCCAAACCAAACCATCCTGAGGCTTCTCAACCTAAGCCATCTCAGAAAACTGATCCTTAGCCCCAGACCTCTTGGGCTAACACCTCTGCATCCAGACCCACTCAATCCCAGTCCTCCCAATCTAAGCTTTCTCATTCCAGATCCAAATCATCGCAGGGCAGTTGTTCACAGGTTAAGGCATTGCCCCAAAGAGCAAGGAGCAAGAGGACAGGGAAACATTAAAAAGCGTGGTCCAGAAACCTGTGAAATATGTCTCTTACCAAACCACTCTTATCCTATAGTAACCTGAAAATAGATGCAGTGAAGGTAGAAGTCTGCTGGCAGCACGACACCAAAAAACCTAACTGGATACCATTAAAATACCTCTTAGAGTTGTGTCCCTAAACTAGTGAAAAAATATAAAAGTAAAACAGAATCAAACCATAAATAAATGTATTCCAAATTGAGTATCAGGCAATAAGTAATTTGAATCTGTGGAATGAGATCAGTGAAACACCGTCACTTGGAGAAGAATGTGTTTGTCTCTAATAGCAAAGTCATAAAAAAAAAAAAAAGGGCTCAGGTTTTCCCATTGTTTGAAGAAGAACTGCCTTAAGTGTTCCCTGCTCCAGATGTGTCTTGGTCATTAAATGTCTGGTTCAAGCCTGGCGTGATGGTTCATGCCTGTAATCCCAGTACTCTGGGAGCTAAGGCAAGGAAGAGTGCTGTGAGTTTGATGTCTGCCTGGACTACAAAGTGAGTTCAAGGTAAGCCTGAACTACAGAGGGAGACCTGTCTCAAAACCAACCAACAAACAAAACAAAACCAAGTTTCTAGTTTATCAGCTGCTGACAGATAGTCTTATGGTACATATTGGGTTTATTAGGTCACTATGCTTAGGTAGCAACTCCAATTTGCTGGGTTGATAACTCTTTTAATTGATCCTTATAGATAGAAATAATGAACTAAAAATAATAAAATTAGTTATTTTATGTTAACTTTAGAGACAGTTAATATATGTTTCACATTTTAAATATTTGAAATAAGAAAATTTGGCTTATTAGAGACTCTCTTAATAGCTTCATGATGCCAATTAAAATGTGGCACTGAGTTAATTTTAGAGGTAAAATTAAGTTGAGAAGATTAAGATAAGTTTATAGTGTTTATTAGAAACTATTGAAATGTTTAAGTTAAGACTTATTGAACTGATAATTTTATTAGATTCATGTTGCTCTAAACATTTGAGTAAGATCTGCTAGTTAGTAGCACTGTGTAAAATAAAAATGTTAGATTGAAAATATTTGAGTAAAGCTTAACTAGGTTTTAAAGTGATAAAAATACTAGTAAAGATTACCTTAAAGATAGATGTTAAATTCACGAGGTATGGAAATAAAACAGTAAGATTTACAAATTAAACTTAGTAGCCCCAGTTTTTGAATTTGTAACTTTAATAAAATTGCCACTAATTTTAAATGCTAAAATAACATCAAATAGTCTTTTTGAGACATAAAATAATGGCTTCATAGATACTATACACACACACACACACACACACACACACACACACACACGAGTTATATAATCTTTGAATGTTGTGGACAGCCATGCTATGTATACTTTGGTGGAGCCCAAACTTCAGGCCCTGCGGTCATAAAGCAGATGTTGACTTGCTTCAGGAACAGGGGAGTTTGTGTGGAAGTGTTATGGTTTGTGTCTAGATGTCTCTCCAAAGCTTCATGTAAAGGGCTTTTTTATAGGTAACTAAATCTACAGTGTGTGATGCAAGGATTAAAGGTGTATGATTAGTAAATCAGTCCACTGATTGGTTTGGCATGATTCTGACTACAATTGAGGGTATGAGTGCTATACCCACCCAAAGGTGGATCTTCTACATACAAATAAGGGACAGAAAGGGTCTAGTCTCCTCCTCTTGTTGTTTTGTGTCTTCTGCTGCCATGAACTGTTGCCCTCTGCCATGTACCACCCTACCTTGGAGTCAACCAATTATGTACGGAAACCTCTACAAACTGTAAACTAAATAAATCTTCCCCTCTTAATTTTGGGTGTCAAGTATTTTGTCTCAGCAACAAGAGAGAAGTTACTAAGACAGGAAGGCTTCCAGCTTCCTGTCTAGGTGGAATGTGATCCCATAACCCCAGTGCAGGTGAGGCAAGATAATGTCTGCTGAGGACAAAACAAAGAAAGAAAGGACCCCGCTGTAGAAAGGATCTCAACTTGTTTTCATTGTGCCGAAATGCTATTCTAGGAAAAATACACTCCTTCTCCCTCCACCCTTCTCACCTGCTATAAAGGTGGGTCAGTTGATGAGGTCTTTGTCTTTGTCCAATCTGAGGCACTGATCCCCTAGCACCCCTAAATCTGCTAACTTCTCTTTGTTTTTGTTTATCCCTCAACATACTCCCCTGAGCAGGTCTGATCCGTCCTTGATATTTGAAAAGGAGTAATTTCTGAAAATATCCTCATGTCACAATAGGTATCCTTTATTTACTTGTGCATTTATTTAACAACATTAAATGTTAACAGTATCCATGTTAACATGTTAATTTTGTTTTCAATTGTGAATTTTTATTTTTGGCAGGAGAAAAAACATGATTACTAATTTATATTTCATAAGTCAAAATCTTTGATGTAAAACAATTGCTCAGCTGAAAATAAAAATTTTGGTTTAAATTTTTGAAATGAACAATTTCAAAATTGCTATCATTATTTGTTTTTTGCAAGTAAATGACCATTTATTATTCATTCATCAAAACCTTGAGCAACTACTGTGTGCCAGGCACCACGCTGGGTCCTGAGGACCCAATAATGAAACAAAAACACCCCTAGTTTAGGACATGCTTTCAAGGTATTTTGGAAATGGGTATGTAATGTATGATAGTAGAACAATATTTTTATAATCCATAAAGAAGATTGCACATACACAGAGAGCAAATCTTTCCAGTCAATCACCAACTTCAGGTAGTGGAATAACGAATTCACCCTTACGCTTTTGCATCACTGCTAAAGACAGAGATTGGTTTGCAGAGGTGTGAATTTAGCATATTCTTGACTCTTTATTAATAAAAGGAGTAACAAGAAACTAAGGAAAATGTTTCTAATTCTAACAAGACAAACTATAATATTTTCCATCCTCTTTATATCTATTGCTAGTGTCTTAATTCAGATCATCTTTTCTTTCTGTTGTGCTCCCTGGAATTCAGCTTCCCTCATGGACCTTTATTGCTTTTATTTCTTGTATTTTTTTATACAATCAAATTGTCTATTTTCCCCCCCTTATTTCTTTATGTGAAGTCATCCTTGTATTTCCTCTTTGATCATGATAGCTTCTTTAAAAATCATTTTTGGGGGGCTGGGGATTTAGCTCAGCGGCATAAGCACCTGCCTTGTAAGCAGGCAGTCGTGAGTTCGATCCCTGGTACCGATAAAAACGAAAAAAGACCAAAAAAAAAAAAATCATTTTTGGAATTTATTTGCTAATACCTTATTTGGGCTACTTTATCTCTGTATTCATAATCCAAACCTACTCATATTCTCTCTATTTATATTATCTTGATGAATATTAACTGTAGGTGATATAGTATAGTGTGTACTTGATGCTACATCTAACAAATCAGTGTAGGAGTACCCTCACATTTTCATCCTCTGGATAGTTTGAATGATAGATGCTCTTTGACTTACCATGGGGTTACATCTGATAAACTCATCATAACTGAAAATGTTAGGGTTGAGAATAGCTGTGATTGCTTTAAAACATTTCTCTGAATCATTTTTCAAGATTAGAACTTGTTAAACTCTCACTACCAACAAATTTGGTAACAGTTTGGGTCCTGGAAATACATATGTTCTATATTAAAATTGGGCAATTTGAAGGTAATTTAATAAAAACACTATTCATAAAGAGTTGAACAAGCTGTGGAAAAAAAAAGAAAGTGCAAAGGGAAGTCCAGTGTCCTAGATTCTGTAAAATCACACTGGCATAGTTGCTTTTCATGATTCCCATTAAATTCATTAGTTCTTCTGCTGGAAAATTTGGCACTAAAAAGCTGTTGTAGGAAGGTACTGATGAACTAAAAACTGTTATCACTTAATATGAGTCCTATTCTAACTGGGTTTCTATATCTAGCACTTCCTAATTTGTCTGCAAGTTTTGTACATCATTAAGTTAAAAGACCGTATATTTTTCAGAATGTGCTTCATTCTCTTTGCTCCACAGCTGGGCTGGATTTTTTTTTTTTTTTTTTTTTTTTGGTACTGGGAATTGAACCCACAGCCTCTCACTTGCTAGGGAGGCTCTTACGTTACTGAGCTAAATCCCTGGCTCTCAGCTGGATTGGGTTTTTCCCTATGGCCAATGTTACTAGTTTATACCATCATTCATTCAGCATTAGTAGGAATTAATACAGCATAATTTAGGGGCTCTGATTTAACACTTCTAGGTGGCTCGGCTTCCCAGATGAGATGAACTTTTATGAGTGACAGGCAGAGAGAGTGGAAAATACATCAAGACACTGAGAAGTTGTGTATGTCCTCCAATAGGGACTGTCTACTTGTCTTCTAACCTCGGTAGACCCTTGACCTCACCCCAACAGCCCAGGGTAAGAAATAAAACTCAAAAACATGCATACCTACTGCCTAGCTCTAATATCTGCCCTAACTCCCACGAATGAACTGAATGAAAGTGTAGGGTTAGAGAACAGGAAATAATATTAATGAAAAATTATCAGTTAATATTATTTCAAAAATCATTCACAATAGCCTAGGCAGTGGGGACAGAGTGGCAGGACTGGCTTGAGAGAAGGCAGAATTTTAAGGCACAGGCAGATCATTGAGGTACTGTGAGCTGTTTGCATAGATGAGAGCCAAGAGAGTTCTGAGGAAGTGCCCAGTGGGTGTATTTCAAAAAGATATTGCATGTTATCTCAGGCATCTATCAAGTCAGAATCAATTTTCTTGCTTTTGGAATGATTTCTTTTTGATGTTTTTATTTTTATTTTAAAGAGGATAAAACAGAATAAAACCAATCAAAACCAACCAGTGTAAGAGATACAGGACTTCAAAATATTACAAAATCAACACTATTTACCACGATGCCTTTTGATGTCTTCAAAATAGCTGCAGATACCTTTGGACATAGTAAACATCGAACAGAATAGAATAAAATAGAAAGAATAAAAACAAAACAATGCAACAAAAGACTTAAAAACAAACCTATAGTAAATTCAAAAGGGCTACCATAATATATCTTGCTATCTTTGAAATAGTTGCTCATGCCATTGGATTTAACATAGTCAAACAAACAAAAGAGAATAAAACCCAAGCCAACAAAGAAATGAAAATGATATACAACTTCAAAACAAGACAATAGGGAATCACCACCGCATACCGCTATCATTGGAACAGATAATCAGACCATTGGCCCTTGACCTGCAAGGTTAGTGAAACACCAGAGCAGCACAGGCATCCAATTGCATTTCACCTTGGTAGCTATCATCACAGCCTGTGTTTCTCTGGATAAGCCGGTTGTTTATGTGCGTATATGGGGGATTGGTACTTCTCGTTTGCCAGCCTGCATGCTAGTAGGGGGTGGGGTCTGGCTGTTCCAGTCCAGCAGTGGTCTGCACATGGTGCTGGTTCCCAGACTGGGCCTTCTTGCTGGTGTGGCCTTGTTCTCTCTATCTCAGTCTGCAAATGGTATCCTTTTGATGTTTTTAAGACAAGGAATGAGATGAAAATTTCAGAAACTTAGAGATATCCCTACCAAAGGAGTATTCTGCTTTTTATTCTATTCAAACTCATTTAAAGTTATTCACATATAGGTTCAGGTGGGGGTAGCCACAGCAGAGTGTTGCTTTATTCTTCTCATGATAGCTCCTTCTCTATTACCTTGGGGTTCCTGGACTCACACTTTGCACAGGCTACTCTTAGCCAGGAACTGAGTATGGTGTGATACAAAAGCAGACAAGTCCTTCCTTATGGGCCTTAAGTACCTGGTAGTCTCTGATATGGGTCTCCTTGTTCACTCGGTTGATTTCTGGGTTGTGCCTTAGTCTGAGGCTTTCTCTCACCAGACCTCCTGCTCCTGTAGAAGACCACCTGGACAGCTCTTCTTGACTACAGAGCAATTCTTTCCCCTTTGGCTAAATCTTGTCCTATCTGTACAGAATTAATATGTACAGAGCTGGTTAAGCTATATCCTTTTTCATTCAAGTGGTGAGAAGCAATATAAGTAGGATAGCTGATGCATAATCTTTGAAGCCAGATGACAATGGCTGTTTCCCTGCCTCAGTGTCTTCCCAAATGGTTGAGCCCAGTGAGATGCAGAGCCAAAGCTCCACGGCTGTGAACTGGGTTCCAACTTCAAGAGGCTATAACTTCCCAGGGCAGAAAAGGTTCGCACATCAGAAAGCTTTGTCTAGCCTTCTAGACATTAAATGCTACCTCCATTTTGTTGTGCAGACTGGTCTTTCTACACATCCTTCTTTCTGCATAATGCAAAGGTGTTTTCTGGCCTCCTATCTAGCCCAGCTCATAGTACGCATGTAATTCCTGCCATTCTCCCAGTCATTCATCCTCAGCAGTCCCTTCATGAATTAAAAAAATTCAAGTTAAGCCCTGGTTTGAGGCTTTTGTTCTGTGAACCCTCATCTGGACCAGACTCAGGCCCTTTGGCTGCCTGTAACTATAAATATACTTTAGTGTCTTTGCCTTCATTCTCTTCACTGGTACGTAGCAGACCTGGAAGGCAGGGTTCTCCTGTGAGGCTTCCACTGCCTATTCTTGCTCTCCACTCCCTTTAGACTTCTCAGGTTTTTCTTGCACTTAAAATTCCATTTTAGTATGCTTACTAGAGAACATAGTTTCTTTGTAGAAACTCTTTCTTCCATTTTCAAATATCTAAGAAACCTTGCATAACTTTCCCATTTTTTAAAGAAGGTAGACCCTAGGGTTTTTGTCTATAACTGTGAGCATCTAATACCAAAGTGGAAGATGTCTTTGACTCTTTTTATGATCTTTCTTAGGGTCA